GCGGTCACAAATGATTATTAGACATATACACATCAAATTATCAGATAATTTATAGAGATTTTAATAATATATATGAATTGTATTTACATTTCTATCGGTTCCGTACCAAGATTTATAATGTAAGACCGCGATGCGGCGCTCACGCGCTTCCAAATTTTGTCTCTGAAACAGCTTTACAGCGCGATCGTTTAGAAAAAAAAGTTCAATATTTTCAAAAAAAATCAGTTTTTAAAACTTTGAAATAACGTGGACTGGAGCAAACTGGTCGTCGGTTCGATCCCAACCTCGGTCAACTTGATATCAAGCAGTATGATATCAAATTGCGACTTGAGGTAATATATCTCAAATATAATCCACAATATTTCTAATTATTCATAGGTTAATTACAGGTATTACTTTAGTTTTTTTTTAAAGATATAATAAAAATGTACTTTTGTCGGGCTGTCACCTTCGGGTTTGTCTTTAATTTGTAAAATGAAAACGATAGTCAAAATTTATTAACATATTCAGGGCGTAATGCAAAGACATCCTACTTTTATATAATTTTTTTTAATTTCTCGATTATTTATCAACATACAACATCAAATCAATTCCCCAGAATCAAAAAAGTATATATATAAAATTCCTTAATAGACTTAAAAAAGGGTCATTGGCACGTTTATAAAATTTTCTGTCATGAATCTGATCTAACAGTCATTTTTGTACTTCTTGTATTATGCCTATTTTTTTCTATTTATTTATTTTAACAAATGATCTGTTGTGACGTGATTCATTAACCTAGTGTTAATAAAATATAATCCATTCTACTATCTATTGAGATTTATTGTAAGATTTCTATCAAGGTAAAACCTATTTTCTTTTGATATCATATTTTAGATCTATAATTCCAAGAAATAATCTATTATCACTTCTGCTTGATATCGAGGTGACCGTGGTGGTTATCGAACCCGGAATCAACGATTGATGCAAAATGCTTATCGAAGATGAGAGATAGGGAAATTTAAATATGCGATCGATTACAAATTTGAATTAATTTGTAACATTGATTAATTAAGGAGATAACATCCGTATCAAATGATGAAAATTATTAATTGTGATTGAATTTTCGATATCATATTGTAAGAATGTATCTGACGCAAGTTTTTTCAAACATTATCGCAAACAATTAGAATAGACAAGCATTGTTCGATTGTTAACAAAATTTGTTATGAAAGTATGTACGAGTAGATAATTTATTTCAATTTTTCAAAATATATGCAATCAATAAATTATCAGTTTTTTAACGTCCCGTAGGGTAAGTTATTGAAATCGTCCAAAAATCGAAATTGAAATTTTTTATGTTTCTTCACGTTTTGAAAGTTTCTGAACATTTTGGCATATCTCAGAAAAAGTTGACGTGTGTGTGTGAATGTATGTATGGATACAATTTTTCGTTCACGTTTTCGGGGGCACGAATTAATCGATTTGAATGGTTCAAAGAACATTCGGTTCCCATTGTTAGGGAGATGTGCTGCTTAATTTTTGGCAAAGGCAGATCCAGCCGCTACGGAGAGAGCCAAGAGTGCAGAAAATACAAATCGAGTTTTTGAGAGAACGGAGTATCCGATTTAAATAATTAAAAAAACATTTAATTTGTATTGATAGAGAAAAGTGGTGATTAGTTTTTGGCAAAGGCAGGTCCAGCCGTTTTGGAGATACCGAGCTAATTGTGCAAAAAGTGGCAGTTTTTGAGAGAACTAAGCATCCGATTTGAATGATTCAAAAAACTTTCTGCTTGTTTTGACAAAATAATTGCCTCTGGGGAAAAAAAATATTTCAAAATTTTCTTTCCATTTTTTTTTTAACTTTTTTTAAACTAAAATTTTCTTGAATATTGAAAATAATTCAGGTTTTATTTTAATTTTGGCTTAAGTTCTAAAGTTCACTTATATACTTCAAATAAATAATTTTAACTTCGTAATTCAGTTTATATAACTCTCATAAATATTAGACCATGTTATAGTATTTATAACAATCTGTTTCAGATCATTTAATATTTCTCAAGCACTTCCTTATGAAATGGGAAGTTCCAGCAATTTGCCTTAAGGCACGATGCCATACACCACTAGTGTATTTATTGACCCAGCTCATAGGATCATAAGTAATTCTGATTGCGGTTAAAACAAATAAAAAATTATATTAATCAAATCAATAACATATTTTCAACACCTCTGGTTTAAATGATGTAACATTTGTTATTATGGACGGTGACGCATATGTTTAAGTTCATGCGATCTCGACTTCCTCGTGAAAGAATAATTAACATATTTTTTCTACTATAATTTGAAAAATCGCATTTGAATACCGTAAATTTTCGTATTTGAATAGTTTTTAACAAGTCGTTACGAATAAATTATTTTTGATATTTATATTTTACAGGAAACTGAAATTATATATAATTTTTTATATTTTATTTCTAATTTACTATTTATTGTATTTATCAATTTCATTTTTGTTATAATTTGTTATTTTAATTTTACTTCATACGAGTGCACAAATTATTAAAATCGAGAAGGACTTGCTACTGGGTGAACTTTCAGAATTTCAATACGATAGAGTAATTTAGTTACCGCAAAAAATCAAAAATGAAATTTTTTATATATGTATCTTTACGTTTTAGAGGTTTCTGAACATTTTGGCATATCTTACAAAATAATGGATGTATGTATGTGTGGATACAAATTGTCGACTTTTTGGAGAGCACGGATCAACCGATTTGAACGTTTCAAAAAACATTCGATTCCTGTTGACGGGAGACTTGCTCATTAGTTTTTGCCAAAGGCAGGTCCAGCCGTTTCGAAAATGCAACAATTTAAATTTCAGTTTTTGAGAGAACGGATTATCCGATTAGAATGATTCAAAAACATTAAACTTATACTGACATTAAGAAGATTTGATTAATTTTTTGCAAAGGCAGGTATAGCGGTTTCGGGAATCCATAGAAACGATCAAAAAATTTTATTTCTCTTTTTTTAATTTTTCACAGAAATGTAAGAGAACCAATTTTTTAATATTTGGTTTTTCAAATATTTTCAAAAATGTTCAGAAAATTTCTCTTTCTGAGCTTTTAAAAATTTTAAATTGCGATACGGGAAGTTACAGAACTATTTTTGCATTGTTATGGAAAAACTGTTTTGTTATTTTGTATAATTAATAATTTGAATTCTCAAGTTCATGCGACATATTTTTCGATACAAATAACTTGTAAAAAATATTTCAACAATTTTTAAAAAAAATTTAGAAATGTTTTGTATATTTATCATAATTATGTACACTTTTTGTCAAATACCAATTTCATAAAATAATTTTGTTCCTCTGATATTAATTTCTTTATAAAATGGAAAGTACATAAATTTGCTGCAAAGCACTAACAAACAAAGTTAGTCATAAACCGCTGCTTCTAGTTTTTGTTGCTATTATATTAACTATAATTATTAATTTATTAAGGACACCTGCGCATGGTTTTATATTTGTTGTAATTTCTTTAATAATTGGTTATTACTCTAGTTGTTAAAATATTACTAAATTTAGTTATGTATAACAAAACTAAAAATATTGGAGAACCATTCTAGACTTCATAATATGCCCAAGTACATTTGTTAGTCAGCCAACGTATGCCCAAGTACATTTGTTAGTCAGCCAACGTTGCAATTGTTCCCGTTTATTTTCCTTCTGTTTCTACCGTACAAATTGTATGAGGAATAATGTGGGCGTTTTCACTTGGCGTCATTTAGTGATCGTTTTAAATTAACTTACAATTAGTACACTAAGAAGTTCATACATCATAAAAATTTTCTCATTACTCATATCACTTTTACTAATTAACTTCCCGTAGGGTAAGTAATAGTGATGGGCCAAAAATCAAAAATGAAATTTTCTGCATATCTTCACGTTTTAAAAGTTCCTGCTCATTTTGGTATACCTGAGAAAAAATACATGTGTGTGTGTAGGTGTGGATACAATTTTTTTTCGACGTTTTCGGGAGTACCACTCTACCGATTTGAGTTATTGAAAAAGCAATCGATAGCCCTAAGGTCAATTCGGTCATTAGGTCAATTTAAACCTAAAATCAGGCTGAAGGGTACAATTATAAAAGAAATCTTAAAATTCCTTATTGATCTGATGCGAGCTAAAAAAGTGCCACAAGGCAAAAATGACTTTTTTGCGGTTTTTACCTAAATGGTCAGTTTTATCGCAAAATTACCTGATACAATATTGTAGAGCATAAAATTATCTACAAAAATGCAAAAATGCTTTTTTGTTCAGAGCCACCGTTTTCGGGAAGTTCCAGCAAATTGCCTTAGCACGACAAGTTTTTCTATAATAACTAAGCAGATTCAACATTACAAACTGATATCTTCTAACTAATAACATAACTAATTCAGTAGGGTAGGAATTTTGAAAGTACCAGAAAATTTACCAGTATCATAAAACTCTCTCAAGCAGTGTAAATTGATATCGAGACAAATCAAAATATTAATTTTTATTATAATTAAATAATTTATATATATTTCTATTACAGTGGGGCATTTTCAATCAAAAAATGTACTGGTTAACTGCATTATTGCTTTTGTCCACGTGCTCAGTGTTTGCCCAATTTAATCGCAACATTTCCCAATGCTGCGAAGAAAGTTGCTACAGTACTGATGACCAATCCCAAAATACAAGATTTGCGACTAAAACTGCTTATGAATTAGTTAAAGGAGTCAGAGGAGATCTGTACAGGGTTCCACGTGAGTATTTATCCTAAATTAATGGGAATTTGAAAGTTGTCCAAGGTAGCGATATGTTGCCAAGTAAAAATTGCATAAACTTGGTATCACTGCATTAATAGAAAATTAGTCAGTATTATAGAAATTATAATAACAAATTCATCTCATAAGGATAGGACGACTATGTCAGGACTTGGTCTGAGTATTGAGGAAAAAATTAAATATAAATATAAATAACCAATATAGTGTTGTTATTCCCAACAAATTTTAATGAAACATAACTGTACTGTTTTTGCTTATTTCTGTTCAGTTAATTATATAATAATTGATGTGTGATTTTTGTTTTATCTTCCGGTACGTTGGTTAAGTATCACAAAAGTGACATTATGATTTTCTTAAAAATGTTACAAATTTTGTTTTCTGACAGAAAATTGTCACAAAAAAGTTAATGACTATTAAATGGAATGTGAGATTAATTTCAGCTCCAAAAAATTCAAATTCAATTTTATTTAGTGAACAACGAATTGATTTTTGATTTAATTATTAGATTTTCATTATATTTTACACATCAGTATGTTTGGGTGTTTTAAATATATTAATCTAATATTTGTATACTTTATTTTTTTCAGATTGTGAACCTGTACAGTTCTGGTTGCTAACCAGACATGGTACTAGGCTGCCAACTGCCAAAGAAATAGGCAGGATGCCACATTTGGAAAGCTTGCGAGATGAGATAATTCGAAATTATCAAGACAGAAATTCTGGTCTTCCCGATAGAGTAAGCAATTAAATATATAATAATTTAATATATACAGAGTGTCCCAGAACTCGTTCAAGTACAAGTTCTCTAATACACGTTTTTTACCTTAAGGGCAGACTCTGTTTTCAAGATTTGGAGAATTTATCGCGATGGAGATGGGATCATAATATAACAGCAAATCATGAACAATATTTAGTTTATCAAGGACAAGAAGATCTCAGACTGTTAGCCAGAAGGTTCCAATCCAAATACCCCCAACTTATGGACTCGCTTTATAATCCTAAACAATATGAGGTAAATTAATAATAAACTAGTGGTGTATGACATCGTGCCTTAAAGAAAATTGCTGGAACTTCCCGTACCGTAATGAAATATTCGAGAAATTTTAAACGTTTTCAAATATATTATTACAAATACTGTAACTTTCATTATTTTTGCTATCTTGTTATATCTGAGCAAATCAAATGCAAATCATAAATCAATTTATCTCCAGAACATTAACAATCGTCATTTCATTTCGAATTGAAATGAAATTGAATTTACACAAAATTGAAAAAGAGCTCCCGTATAGACACAGTCTAAACTCATTTACAAATAATTCTGTGCAACATTTTCACTTATACTGTGCTTAGATTGGCGGCATTTTCACATTTTTCAATAATTTTCACAAAATTGGAAAAGTGCTTCAGTGCATAAACAGTCTAAACGCACTTGGGTAAATATTTGTACCAGAGTGGCGCTTAGACTGTGCTTAGTCTGGGTAATTTTTTGAATTTTTAATCCAAAATTACAAAAATATTTTATGGAAAATAAAAAAAGATGTAATAATTTTTTATCCTCAAATTGTTTTGTCAATACAAGCAGAAAGTTTTTTTTAGATCATTCAAATCGGACGCTTAGTTCACTCAAAAACTGCCATTTTTTGCACATTTAGCTCAGTATCCTCGAAATGGCGAGACCTGTCTTTGCCAAAAACTAATCACCTCTTCTCCCAATCATTACAAATTGAATGTTTTGTTAGATCATTCAAATCCGGTACTCCGTTCTCTCAAAAACTCGATTTGTAATGATCTCCGTAGCGGCTGGAGCTGCCTTTGCCAAAAACTAATCAGCACATCTCCCTATCAATAGGGATCGAATATTTTTTAAACCATTCAAATCGATTGATCCGTGCGCCCGAAAACGTGGACGAAAAAATGCGGACATTCAAAACACACACACACATACACACACATCCATTTTTTCCGAGGTATGCCTAAATGTTCAGAAACCTTCAAAACGTCGAGAAATGCAAAAAAATGTATTTTCGATTTTCGGCCCATTACTATAACTACCCTACGGGAAGTTAAAAAACTTAGTTCTAAACATTTTATAGATATTTGTTTCAGTGTTTATTATTTACAGTTTAGGCACACAGAAACCCAAAGAACCGAATACAGTTTCAAAGCTTTTGCTGAAGGTCTCTTTGGACCATCTTCAGTTTCGATACATTTACCACCGCCACCAAAGGAAGACAAATTGCTGAAGGTAATTTCATTCTTAACTAAAACGTACAACTTCGAATATGTTTCTTTTTCTAATTTTTCTTTCTTTCTAGGGTTACGATTTCTGTCCCTTATATATCGATGAAGAGGATAAACCAAAACCCGAATACGAAGCCTTTAAAAATTCACCTTTATATACCAAACTTGTAGAAGATGTGTCCAGTAAACTTGGTTTTAGATTTGCTCTGGACAAGGATGTGGTAAATGATATTTGGGCGATGTGCAGGTACGACAGGGCTTGGAAACTGGACAGACTTGGGTCGCCCTGGTGTGCGGTTAGTATTTATATTAAAAGAATTTTGTCTTTAGCTAAAGATATGTATTTTATATTATCAGCAATAGCAACCGGTATCGGCGAATTGTGATTCAGAATGAAAATGTTTGAACATAGAAATTTTTTGAGGTGATTCTTGGGTTCATTTTTTCTATGAAGCATGAATATGCCGGACTGCATATTTTTAGTATTTAATTGGTCTGGAACAATATTTTAGATGTGTCAAGAAAAATCTAATGGTGCTAACTACAAACCACTGAAGTATCAGAAAATACAAACCAAGTTTCTTACGAACCCACTTTTCCATATTTTTCATTGATGAGGTAGTTCAAAATTGTATGTTAGCGATTTTTCTTTTGTTGAAAAGATCTCTAAATTGGGGTCTACCAGGATTGAGTAGTTTTTGTTTGGCAATGCGTCCAATACTTTCGAAAATTTTTTTTGGAAAGTAATATTTCTATAAGAGAAATTATCCTTTCCAGAAGGATCTCAATTTTCATCTATCACGTTTTAATAAATGTTTTGTCTCAATCACAGGCTTTCACACAAACCAAGTAAAAATTCTGGAATATCTCGAAGATTTAAAATATTACTACAAAACTGGATATGGTTTAGACATCAATACTAAAATTGGATGCCCTCCGATTAAAGATATGATTGAGAAATTCACAAAAAAGATCGATACTAATGGTAAGTAGATAAAATTATTTATAATTATCAAGAAGCATGACTTTGTTCGAAAACTGGTATATAGCATAGCATAGATACACATTTGTTTGTACTTCTATATATGAATTATTTTTTTTATCTTCCAGGGTACATGTCGTATCATATATCTCTATTTTCACAAATAACCGATTTTATGTTTTTTTACCACCAATTGTTTTTAATTCTGCTGTTTTTTTTAATTTATCAATATAGTGCAGATTTTTTTGCGATATGGACGCTTTGCATACTTTATTTGTTAAATTTATGCTAGTATTGCAGCATTTGTATTATCAAACTAGATGACCCGACAGACGTTGTCCTGTACCCATGTCCACATTTTTTTAATATAATATACTAATATTTATCGTTTACCTAAAAATATTAATTATGGTTTTTTAAATTATTCTTCACGCCAAAATCCATATACATTTATAAAATGAACGATTTAAATGTAGAACTGCTTTAAATAAAATGATGAGTCTCAATTTCCACACTATAATATTGGAAATTGAAGTCTTTTAAACGGTATAACATAACAATAACCATATTATAACACTGGTACTTTGTTGGATTAAATTAATTTAATGTTTTATTATTTAAGATATCCAAAATTGCATCTTAAACTTCTCTTAATCGATATCGTGAGGGCCGAATTGTGTATGTATGCATCTTTACTTTCCCATTTCTTGTTATAAAGTGATGTTTTACGAATTTTAAAAATATTGTGGGAAGATTAGTAAAAGATGCAAAGAATTGAAGAAAGAGTGCTTGTAATTTAATATGAACTTTATATAATAGCAATAAAGCGCAAATTGATTCTACGTTTTAGTTAGAAAACGTTTGTATGAGAAAAAGAAAAGGGCTGTTTTTAGGGTTTTCCCGACAATCATTCGATTTTTTCTCGCCGTAAAAACCATCCTTGGGCTTCAACGAACATTTTAAAAAAAGAATTGGCCAAATTGGTCCAGTCGTTGTTGAGTTATGCGCTTACCAACACATGTTGCGATTCATTTTTATATTTAAGATTAATTGTCTTCAATATCACGTTAGCAGACTCTCCAAATATTCTTTGGAGATTTTGGACATTTTTGAGGAGTCTTTTTTTGAAAATTAAATTTCAAATTTATTCAATAGATGGTCCAAATGTGGTGGCATATTTTACCCATCAAGCAATGTTGAACATGATGTTGACCACTTTGGGTTTGGCAAAAGATTCTCGACCTCTGACCGCAGCTGATTTTGAGATTAATGAGAATAGACAGTGGCGTGTCAGCAAACAATCACCATTTACTGGAAATTTGGCAGCTATTCTGCACAAGTAAGATTTATAGTAACTAGATTTATATGTACGCTTGCACACTAAAACATGAAACTTGCACAACCTGATCGCCATTTTATCTACATTTTGATCAATAAATAAATCAAATTGTGAAATGAAATATGTTTTTAATTGGCGTTGGATAAATGATTCAATTCCTAACATTTTATCTATTTATCCCTTATAGATGTGATGAGACGCAACCGGAGCCTTACCAGGTCTTATTTCTCCTGAACGAGGCCCCAGCAGAAATAAGCGAATGCAGGGTCGGACTTTGCTCCTGGGAGACTGTCAGACGTAAATGGGCACTTTTGGCTGACACCTGCGACCTGAATCATTTTTGTTTACCTAATTCGGCTCCTGCATCCAATTTAAATGTCATTGGTTTCGTATCATTGGTAATAACAGTTTTATTATTGGATCGATTTAGAGGAATTTAAATAAAATTTGAGGATATTCCTGTGGTGAAGTATAGACCAATCAAAATGTATAAATTCTAATATCTAAAAATAATGAAACGAAGCAGGTGAGCATTAAAACATCTATCAATGATTGTTCTAATTTATCATAATAGTAATTTTGGTTATTGAATTGTTGGCATATAAAACTTAACAAAAATTATAACATTGTTGCGTCAAGATTCAAATTCTAAAATATATTAGATTTAAATTCTAATAATCCTAATACAGTATTAAATATATGTATGTAAAATATTTCTGCCAAAAGTGTAAATAATTAACATGTTATTTGTTATTATTAATAATAAGGTATTTGTTATTATTAATAATAAGAAGTGTTAAGAAACAATATTAGTATAAAGTTCAATCTGTAATGTTAATTTTATTTTCAAGATTTATATATTGTTAATGTATTTTTATAGTTTAATATAAATACAAACAGTTTTAATAATTTAATCTATTTATTAGAAAGAGGTATTTTTCAGCATTATATAAAAGAATTGAATTGCAAGATAATAGTCACAGATAATTTAGAAGTCTAATTAAACATACTATATATAAATCTATATATATATAAATTAGGGTGGTCCTTAATACGGACATTTTCGAATTTTTTTGCTCCCAAGAACTCAAATGCTTCCAAATTAATTAAAAAAATTTTTCTAAAAGTTTCAGATCTTTATATTAATAATTAGATACTTCACGAATATCCTAAAATTTGATAATAAATAAAATTTTTTTGAAGTTTGGAATAATATGGGTTTGTGCAAATTGAAGATATTATAAGTATACATCCAATTTATCAGTTTTTAGGAAGAAACATTTGAGCATTTTACCTAATTGGCTAAATCTCATCTAATTAATATGTATCGGCAAGTGCAACTTGCCCTATGGCAAAATGCCACTTACACCTAATTTTATATATATATATATATATATGTATATATATGTATATGTATAATTTACATTTTTTCTCGATCTGTTACCATAGTAATGCGAAACAATCGGATATTTTCGTTGCTCCAGTAACGACATGTCAAACGTTTAATTGTCACATTAATGAATATTTTGATTTTTATTTTCTAGAAATATTTTTCAGGTTGTTATTTAAAATTATTTAAAAAAAGAAGACATGGAAGATTGGCCAAGTGCACGAGTCTCTCAAGGCGGAATATTCGCTCCGAGGGCAAATAAGTACAGCACTGAAACCCACAATTTTCTAAAAGGTAAAAATAATAATTCCAGAGAAGTTCCAGCAATTTGCCTTCAGACACAATGCCATACACCCCACTAGTTTAACGCTTGTGCAGGACTAACAAGTCTTTCTATTATCATTTCAATAAATCGTACTAATAATCATGATTCTTATATTTTTTATTATCAAACTTTAACTAATTCAATTATCTATCTACAGTTTTAATGGAAGAGCAAAAATTATCTATGCTGCAACGCAAACAAGTAAATCGTTGTCTTCGAGAAGGAACCAGTTTACCACAGAGATTTGCAAAGGAACAACAACCTCAGGTAAAAATAATTAAAAAGAAATGAATTATTCGTCAACTGTAATTTATTTATTTAAAATCTAACAAAACCACATCAAATTATTATTTTATTTTACAGGAAGAAAGAATATCTATGGACCCTTGTCCTCTGATGAGTCAGGTGTTGAGATCACCAAGACTTAGGACACAATCTGTAATTCGAAACTCGGGAGCTTATGATGTGCCTAAGTAAGATGATATAAATATATAAAACTTACTTATAAATAATTTGAAAACTATTTCATTTAAATTTGCATATTATGTTGTCACTGATAGTTTTTTAATATCATCATGTTTTATAGTACACCCTTTGATTTATTTTTGATATACTCCTTGGTTTTTTACATATCTGAAGAAATATATTATAATGTCTATTTATTACTAGAATGCCTTTTCGTCCACTGGTTGATCGAGAAAAGGCAAAAGAACACCTTCAAAACATTATGGTGGGATACGACCAAGGAAGTTATGCAAACTATTTGAGAGGAAATAAAGGGACTCGGAAAAATATTCAGAAGGCTCCAAAACAAGAGACTCCTGATAGGGTGGACGAATGTATGTATTTATAATATAGAATGAGAAAGTTGTTTTAATTTTACCAGAACAGAAATAATCATAAATGCTTACTCTATTAATTTTATAAATAAAATTTGATTTTCTATTATTTAATATTTTCAAGTAATGGAGGAGATTCAAGAGCGGATTACTTGGTTAAAAGACATGACCGAGCTTGGCAAAGGAAAGCAACATACAGAAGTCATTCGTCAACAAGTAGCTGAAAAAATGAGACAAATCAAAGCATTAAAAGAAATACCTGCAGATATCACGAAGAACAAAGATGACTGCACAAATGCAGAATAAACTCTTCGCTGGTTCGATGAAATATAAAAATTAGTTTTAATTGAACTAGTAAATTGTTGTTGTCATACAAATTCTAAAAATTTGGTCCTAATAGTGTTTTTCTTGTTTATAGGTAGCAATGCTAAGTATTGTGAATTAAATTTTTTATGAAAATAATTTTATTCTTAATATTTTTATCTTAAGTTTTGTAAGTATAAATTAAATTGGATGTTTGAGCATTCTTATTAATGTAAATTTGAAAAAGTATTAGAAGTAAAATAGTATTTTCACGCCGTATTAATGGGTCCAAGGAAAAATGGGTCCTACCTTGGTTTTTAAAATAGTGTGATATTTAAAGTTTCTCATAACATAAATTGATATAAACTTTTATATTGTGCACACTCCTATTAATTTTCTACATTTTAAATATGTATATATGCGCTTAACACTTTTGTTTTTCTACCATAACCTATTTAGTTAACTGTCACTTTGACAGATTCGTCGTCGTTTGTTTTTGACATTTTCTCTTTATGTTGGTACACATGTTTGATGTTTTTTGAGCTGTCAAATTAGTGTGTTTCAACTCCGCATTTCACTTTCGTTAATATTATTTGTAAATATTTAAGAAATATCAGAAAATATCATTATATTATATTTATTTAATGCTGTAATAATACAAGAAGCAAAATGCTTCAATTACAAACATATGCTAGTAGCAGTGACGACGAAAAGGCTTCAGACGCAGAAGAATCTAAAACTAACCTAGAAGATTACACACAACATTTAAAACCAATTTCGAAACAAATTTCTAGTTCTATACAGATATGTGCAGCTCCGAATGTGGTTCCTACTGTAATAAATTTTATATTAATATCTTTAAACTAAATTGCATCTTTCAATATATGAAATTATACTAGACAATGTTATTCATCAAAACTTGTACTTGAAAAGCTAAACCTCTTGTTTGAATCTTGGTTTGCAATAATTACAATTTTCATAACAATAATAAACTAATACATAAGTTCTAATTGGATTTGTTGAATTTAATTCATGAATTTCTTTTATAATTTATCTATTACTTTTAGGGAGCCGTGGAGTGTGTCGACACATAGATCCAACAGCCAAAGAAGTTACTTACAATCCCAAATTTGATGAAATGTTTTCTCCTGTCGTCGGACCAGAAAATCCTTTTATCACAGAACAAATGGCTGCACGCAGAAATATGTTATCGGGTTTTGTAGAACAGGCTCACATTAGTGAATTTCAATTTGAAAATCAAAGAAGAACCTTTACAAGTTACGGATATGCATTAGACCCTACAGTAGATGGGACTCCTGATGATGGAAATAAAATAATCGGTAAGAATAATGATAATATTCAAAATTAAATAGGTTTCCACAATTTTATATATTTCATTTTGTATTATTTTAGGTGCGTCCGATATTGCAAGTGAAAATGGTTTGAAGACAGTTTTTGAATCAACTAAACCTAGACCTTTAGACAAACGAAAAAAGCTGAAAAATGATAAACCTGAAGATATTGAAGGTTTTCTTGGACCGTGGGCAGCGTATGAAGATCAGAAGTTTGTTGCCAAGCCTAGTCAAGAAGAGGCTGAAGAACTGGAAGAACTTTTGGCTAAAAGACAAAAGAGGACTCGACATGTTGAAGAGAAACCACTGGAAGAGAAAACAGTTTTGCATAGTAAGCAAAAATTTATTACATATATATTGTAAAATTCACTTAAATCTATTGATTGGGACATTTATATAAAATTTCATGAAATTGCTGATTGACTATGGATTATATGGATTTATTGATAATGGATTTTTTTTTTCAGTAAAAGATATTGTGGATTACCAAGGACGAACATTTCTTCATGCACCGCATGATGTTGGAGTCAATCTCAAATCCAGTTCACCTCCAGATCGTTGTTTTCTCCCAAAATCACACATTCACACATGGCAGGGACATACGAAAGGAATTGCTGCAATCAAATGGTTTCCAAGAACTGCACATTTATTGCTATCTGCTAGCATGGACTGCAGAGTTAAAGTAAGTCTTAATAATTAATAAATGATATGCTATTTATTAAGTTTCACAAAAAATTTTAATAGGCTGTAATTTTTGTCATTGATTTAAATATTTTATTATGCAAAATAATAAATTAATGTTGTGGGTTATTTATTTTTTTTAGATATGGGAGGTTTATAAAGAAAGAAGATGTATACGAACATACTATGGACACAGGCAAGCCGTTCGAGATATTAGTTTTAACAATAGTGGACACAAATTTTTATCAGCAGGTAAATTTGCAAATTTATACTTTATTTTTTTATCCCTTTTAAATCATATAGAAATATGTAAAAAAAGCCCATGTGAAGACAGTTGTTTTTTATTTGCTATTTATATGTAAAATACTATTTTTTTTAGCTTATGACAGATACATAAAACTCTGGGACACTGAAACCGGGGATTGCATATCACGATTTACAAGCAGGAAGATACCATTTTGTGCCAAATTTCATCCTGACGAAGATAAGCAGCATTTATTTGTAGCTGGAACATCTGATAAAAAGATTATATGCGTAAGAATTTTTTTTAATCCTTTTAACTTTAAAACTAGTGGGGCGCATGGCATCGTGCCTTAAGGCAAATTGCTGGAACTTCCCGTACCAAAAATGATTATTTTTTTAAAAGATTAACATTTTTAGAAATTACTCTGAAAAATTAGATTTTGAGAAACTATATATTTTTGACAAAAATTTTCTTTTTTTTTGAAAAAAAAAGACTTT